GAGTAGCACTTGAAATGTTTTGGCTCCATGAAACCTGATGTACTTATATGATTCTGTTTTCTTCAAGTTTGTATCTTATTGGTCGAATGCACTTATTGTAAATCGCTTTGGATAAAAGTGTCAGCTAAATGTAATGTAATGTAATATAAATAATCTAACTGGTGGGATTTAAACTTTTGAGACAAGTTTAACAGGAAACCACGGGGCTTTACGCCCGTGAGTAGTTCTCGCGAGATTACGAAACAAGAAGGCAGAGAAAATGGAAGGCTGTGCTAGCTAGCTGGCTAGCTGAGCGAATCCAATAATAACTGGAAACAAAACGTTCATATGCAAGGTACGAATTCAGTTTTAGTGGCGGTGTTCATTTACTTTCGTACAACATGCTACTCTTGTGTGGGCAGCGTTGGAGACACTTATCTCCGTAGCGTGTCATAACTCACAGTGTAGGAGCTAGCTTCTAGCTAGCTAAATGAGGGGCAAGAGAACAATGTCAGGACAACTGCTATCTCTAAGAAGTAACTCCGGAGTGTTTGCACCGTTGCACAAGAAGGACGTTTCATGTATACACTTCCACAGCTGCCTGAGATCTAGTAGTGACTAGTAAGGGTGGTTGTTTCGTTTCTAACAGTACATTCACTTGGACCCTATGGAGTGCACGCATAATTATCACTCCTGTTGAGCCTTTGCAAAAATGCACAGCAGCACTGTATTTGCACCAGACATATTATGGGTACAATCCCAATGTCCTAACACACCTGCCAACCGTGAAATAGTTTTCAATACATACAAACATTATTTGTAAATAACTTAGCTGGATAAGGCATTTAGTAATCGCTCAATTGAGGATTTACATTTACTAGTAACAACGCAGTCTACAGCATATTTAAGACCATATTGCAAAAACGGAACATTATAACCTTTTTGATGTATGGCTGTTGTATTTCACCATATTTGTTTTAGTTGTTGATAATATTATAAAATAAAAATGTACAGTTAAATGGAAAAAAAGGTTAAAAGGAAAAGCCTACTATTTACTCATAAACTAATGTGGATGATTTGGTGAAAATTAGGCTTTGGCAGCCATTTCCTCATTGTAAAGTACATATTTGTTCTGCATTTATCCACCATCTTACTTTCAAAATGATTAATATGTACTAACAAATTCTATCCTGTTTTTCGTAGCTACCAACACATGTCAATATGGATCCAATGGAAGATAATGACATCATCAATGATTATAATGATGGTAAAATACATACTTTTTTTCTATTTACATATCTGTTTTTGTTAAGCACTTTGGGTTGAAGCTTGCTTTTTAAAGTGCTATATGCATGAAACTTGATGAGTTTCTTAGATGGGCTGACTGGTGCTAAAGATACACATGAAAACGTTTTGAGCTCTGTTAACCCCTTTTGTCTCTGTCTTTCTTTAGAAGAACAGCCAGAAGAGGCTGGTTCGAGTGTTAGGCCAACCATGTCTCAGGTTAAAAAGTCCTGGGGCTTCAGACGGACAACAATCGCCAAAAGAGAGTTCTTGGATGAAGTTGGAGACCTAACAAGCAATCCTCAACCCGTACGCAGAGCCAGAGGTCGTAGAGCCAACCCAACACCCCAGCCCTCTCCAGAAACCCAGAGAGTTTCCCGTGGAACCAGGAGTGTAATAGATGATCTCGAGTGGTCTGCCCCATCGTCACCAGTATCAGAGGAGAGCAAGCCCGCCTCCGCAGCCTCAGCAGGAGGGAGCCTTGACCCCAGCTCGTGGCAAGATTGCGGGTCTGCCTTCCACACTGCTTTCTCACTGCTTGGTGGAGGTGAGGGTTTGGCACTGGACATGTCAGACACACTGGCAATCCCTGACATTTTGGAAGTCACTGACTCCCTTGAAGCCTCGCCACCCCAACTCATAGAAGAAACGGAGGTGCCTGATGATAATGAATCTGCTGATGAGATGGAAATCTCGCAGCCTGTTGCACCTGACAATGTGGCAGGAGGAGAAAATGATGACGTTGTTCTGATATCTAGTCAGGAAGAGGACAGTGATGATATGTCTCTGATGCAGATGAAGGAGCAGATAGCTTCAAAAGGCAGACAGGGAGACACAAGAGGTAGAGGGGGGAGAGGTGGAAGAGGAAAGGCCAGAGGAAGGGGGAGAGGCAGAGGAAGAGGTAGGGGAAGAGGCAGAGGACGGGGCAGAGGGAGAAGCAAGGCAGTGGCGCTTCAATCAAGGATTATTGATGAAGAGGACAACCACAATGAGCTGGTGGTAGTTAACCCCGCTGATCAGATGCTGCAGCAATTTCAAGACGAAGACAAAGAAAATGATCCACAAGATCCTGCTGAAATAGTGATATCCCCTGCTAACTCTGACATCACTCTGAGTCCCACTCAGCAATCTAGCTCAGACTACATAATCATAGACACTGATTTAGACCACATTACTGATATGACTTCTGGCCAGTACGCTGATGCCCCAGAAGAGGAGGAGATGGAGGAGAAGAAAGAATATACTGACGTAGAAGAGTTTCCACGAATATTAGATACAGACGGCTCTGATTCCAATGCTCTGTACTGCATCTGTCGGCAGAAGCAAGATAAAAGGTATATTCTGGTAACAATATCTCTGGGGCATTGGGGGTTTGCATACCTCAACCATCTGTCGGTTTCACTTCCTGATCTCTGCTGTTTTCTTCTAGGTTCATGATCTGCTGTGACATTTGCCAGGATTGGTTTCATGGCGACTGTGTTGGTATCAGTGCAACACAGGGTCGTAAGATGGAGAAGAAAGGGCAAGAGTACGTGTGCCCCCCTTGTACTACAAGGAAGCAGATCCAACTCCAACCAGAGCCTCAGCCAGAGCCTGAGCTTAGCTTTCCCGAATGCTTGACGCTAAGTCCACCCAGTGAAGAACAGGAGCAGCACCAGGAGCAGAAAGATCTCAAGGTTAGAATTTGGTTTGGATTGTGATTGATCTCCAGATGGCTCGTTATCAGGCCCGGTTCCAGAACAAAATGACTCAGGGTGCATCTGAGATTAGAGAGGGTGCAGTGGTAAAGTGCTATTTTTACAAGTGTTGAGTGGACCTAACACTCTCTAGGGGGGTCCTCACCTCCTCTAGGGGGGTCCGGGGGCATGCTCACCCGGGACATTTTTTTTTTAATATTGAAGTTAAAAGCATCAATCTGGTGCACTTTGAGAGCAACATTAAGAGATCTATGGATCTATGTGCTCTTTGTTTGATTCATGCCTTCCCAGTCCCTTATCACGTACAAGAGCATGGCGCCAGTTGTAGTAGCCAGTTGTGGTGAAGGCATCTGACTTACTTGAACCGAAATGTCTACATGCATAGCAAAAGATGGCATCTTTTTTACATGAATATTCCAGCCAATCTCTGTTTTGAAACCATGAGCTGCAAAATGAGCGCCTTACCCCACTGTACAGGCGAGTTGGGTACTTTTTTAAATATACCTGTGCAGGCTCTGTTTTGCCGAGGTCCTCTGGCACTTGCGGGTCGCTGAGGGGTGGCGGTGTTTGGGGCAACGAAGCAAAGCCGGCAAGTCGGGCGTTAGTGTCCACGACAGTGGCCGCGGGTAACATAATGTCCCCATGATCTGAACTGTTATTATCTGCAGTAGATGCAGTGTTACTGCTGGCGATAAGCGGCCTGGTTGTTTTAAACCATTTTCTGATGTCCATCACTGACTGCTGTGTAAGCACCTTGCAGATGACGAACGCGCAGCGGCACAGGTCACGCGCACCTGACATAATAACCTTACTTACCGTTTAAATTGACCAAATAAATGCAGCAGACAATGTTATTTAACCACAATTACAATTTACTATATTCTTATTATTATTATTGTTATTGTACATGTAATATTTTTCCCTCTTTTTTTTTCACTTTTAATTTTTCAAATGAGGGTGCATAACGACTCAACTGAGGGTGCAATGCACCCTTATGCACCCCCGTAGAACCGGGCCTGCTCGTTATCCTTATGCAGTGTTCACACCTACACAACCAAGGGAGTTTTTGCATTGCTTACTCACACAAGTCTCTGGTTTCAGGAGACTTTGTCTGCGGTTGAGGAGGAGGAGCAGCAGCAGCAGCAGCAGCAGCAGCAGCAGCAGCAGCAGCAGGAGAAGGAGAAGGAGAAGGAGGAGAAGGCTCCTGTGATGATGTCAAAGCTTGAGCCCGATGCTGAGATGGAGACAGGCAGCTCTCTTCCTCTGTGCATTGGACCCGAATGCTCCAAACAAGCCCTACAAGACTCTGTTTACTGTGGCACTGACTGCATCCTGCAGCATGCCGCCTTCACTATGAAGACTCTTTCTGTTCCTAAAGTGCCCAAGCCCAGAGGACGGCCTCAGAGAAAAGCTGCCACTGCCAAACCCAACCCAACGGTAAGTTCTTTATAACATGGACACAGAGAAATTGAGAGACTTTAAAGGTGTATAGCACATTTTTTTCTTATTTAGTGTTTTCTAATTTCTGTCTGATTTAATGTAAATATTTGTTATAGTATGAACTACCTTTTTATTTTTTAACCTAAGCCAATATGTTCCTCACAGGGTCAGAGGTTGGGTCGGATGTCAAAGAGATTAGAAGTAAATGCTGAGGAACGTGAAGAGGAGGATGTGAAGGAAGATGATGGAGGGCAGGAGGAGGCTGTGTCTCACTTAGCCTGCGACCCCAGTCTCACAGAAGTTCAGACCACTTCCATACCATCGTCTAAGTTTTACACAGCGTGTATGTACCGTTCGCTACTCATACACATTCAGATCACACAGCAGTTTATACACCATGCACAAAAGGCCTCTTTGGCGTTTCAGATTTTCCTCCCTATTTGAATCCTAGCACTACGTAACACAATCATACACGATCATACACACACACACACAAATACACACACACACACACACACACACACACACACACACACACACACACACACACACACACACACACACACACACACACACACACACACACTTTCTCTCTGTGATGACTGATAAGTAGCAGGGGTCAGCATTGGGGTAAGTATGCTCACTTTTACAGTTATTCTTTTGACACCAAATGCCCAAAATGTGTCTCAACAATGTCAACTTGTCAGGATTCAAGGATTCACATAAACCTGTCTCATAACTGGTTTAACTAGTAACTACAACACAAAGCGAATGTGTTTCGGGGAGTTCTGGGTAGGCAGGGTGGTTTCCCACAATTTGGTATCATTTTATTGAAACACTGCTCCGATGTTCATTCCGATGGACTTTGCAAAGGTCTAACAAACTCAAAAGGTTCACACTGAAGAATATGTGCTGCAGAAGTCCTTCACTGAATGATGCAAACCAGCTGGAAGGAAGGAAAGGAAGTCATTTCACATCAACACACTTGGCAACAGTCTATTACTTCAGAAACATGCCTCGCACTGTGACATAAGCTGCTGGTGTTTGACCGTTTGAAGAATGATTTAGATTCAAGGTTTTGGATGTGTTCATCACTATAACCTGCCGTGCACATAAAGCACAGTCTTATGCATGAAGATGCTCACATACACAACATTATTCATTGTTTGAAATGTTGAACCCCATCACGCCACACATTATATTCTCTTAAAATCAATTTTGACAACTTCAATATCTGATTATTTAAATAAGTTAGACAACCTTAAGTCCTATCTCAGATGTGTAGACACTTCAAAACCCTTTTAATCGATTTTTCTTCCAACATTAAAAACTCATAATTTAGTTGTTTTTTTCTAAATGTAATCCAACACAACTTTGCGCACTAGGATCTGCATTCTCCATTTTATTACAGACTGCATGCTTAAGAGAGTTCTAAGTGTGTATTTATTTCTCAATATGTAAGAAATTAATTCCAGAACAAAAAATTTCTTAACTTCTCTAAATATAATGGCTGTCTCCAGACGTGTTTTTCAAACCCCCATGTTCAATCACCAGCAATTTCTCCCGATTATTAGTCCTATGCCTCTTTGAGGCGAGGTCCCTTTTGTTTTGTTTTGCAATTGGAACTAAGTTGCATTTCACAATTTTCCTTGTCACTCTGTCATGCTCAAACAACTTTCCACGGATCAGAGAAAACGTTTGCATCATATTACAACTTACAGTGCCTTATCCATCAACACCAACCAGCAAACAGAAACACTGATTTCAGAAACAAACAGAAACACTGACATTAGCTGGGATAGGATTTTGAATGAAAAAGAACTGGGCATCTGGTGAGGAGGAGGAGGAGGAGGAGGAGGAGGATGATGATGATGATGAATTGAGTCCTCCAAAGACTCAGGGGGGACTGGAGGATTCATCAGTGCAGGTGCTTGGAGGAAGTTTCACCTGGACTTCACCGAACAGCAGATGGGAGATTGTGTCACATTTCCATGAAGATGATTTGGAAGTGTCAGCCGGCCTTGTGCTGCATTCCTCCGAGCCTCTGAGAAAAACCTGGCCCCTCCTGCAAATGAAGAAAGAGAACAGTTGAATTCACATGCAAGCTAGAGATTAGGGAAAGACATCATCTCTGTCATTGAGTGTGGGTATAGTGGTTAAATAACCCTTTGTGGGTTTTATTTAGTCAGATTTGATTCCATTAATAGCTTGAAAATAATATAATACATTTATGCTATAGTCTGAAACCATTCGTTTTTCATTTACACTCGCATATGCATCCATTTATATTCATACCAACAGCAGGGAACAACATCTGTCTTCTAAAACACATTCATTTGCTTTTCTTTTGAATGCTGACCTGGGGTCAGCTTCTTCTTCCTTCTCCCACTACTGTGGAATTTACAAACTGAACAAAAGCCATCAAACCTTACACTTACAAATACACTTCACAAACAAATGTATTCAATATAAAGAGGACCGAAGGTCTATATCAGAATCAGCTTTATTTGCCAGCTCTGTGTACATATAAGGAATTTGACTCGTGACGATTTTTATGTTGCTCTTATTGTAATTTCACACAGTTCCAACTATATAGAAATAGAATAAAAACAAAGCCAAACAAAGTTATGAAAAAATAAACACTAGTTACAACAGTTATCTTACAAATAGGTCTGAATAGAAAATGTATATACATTTGTATAGTTTACTGATACAGAGATTTACGCATAACACATTGGTTTAAAAGGCCATAGCCAAAGGACTATAGTTTTTTTTGGAACTTTAGTACGTTTGGATCAATACTTGGACATGAATCACAACACACTACTACTACTACTACTACTACTACTACAATAATAGAAATACAAATGATAATAGGAAGACTACTTAAATGAGAAATTCATTTACAAAAGTCCAGCAGTCCATCTTGGTGATCACCTGTTGCATTCACTCCTGCTTGACGCCTCAATGATCCTCTGAATGTGGAGCTGTGGGCGCTGCCACATCTCCAGAGAAGGTCCTAGAGCTGCTCGACTCACTGCAGGCAGAGGTCCCGTCTCCAGCTGTTGGGTTGCAGGTTGTCTCACATGTTCACAATGGGTTTGAGATCAGGATCCAACGAGCAGTCCTCAAGGCAGGTGTTGCCTGATGAATGGTGCTGTTTTTTGAGTTGCTGCACAATTTCATCCCTGCATCACTTGACATCATGGATAAAGTGACCCAAGCTTAAAGATATGGCTTTTTGAAGAAGACACAATGTGTTTATTGCTCCTGAGGCACCTCAAAGTCATCCTCAGGGAGAATGTCAAGTAGCAAGTCTTGGTGTCTTACTGTAATGCAGGTAGTAGTTTAAGTCAAAAAGTAGTTTTCTCCATCCTGGTCAATAGTTTACAACATTTCCACGTCCTTGATAACAGATTTCCTTAAAATCCATCCAACAAAAGAATGCAAAGTTTGACCTTTTTAAAATATGAACATTTACAGTATGTTTAAAGAACGTGATCAGTATGAAATTACTAGTCATTGGAAGAGTGGGTTTGGGGTTTGAATCATAGTTTAATTTCAATTTCTGTTCGACACTCCAAGGACCCATAAGCACAAGGCTGGACGTCACACACAGTCTGTAGCGCTGGAGTTGCCTTCAATGATAACCCGGTCTCAGTTGCCCCACGTCTGTTTGTTTAGTTAACCTTCCACTTGGGACTGTGATGAAAGCTATTCCATAGAGCAGCATGCCTTCTTTTTTCAAGTATATTAAAGGTCCCACGTCATGGCCATTTCTACTGATCATAATTCCATTGTTGAGGTCTACTAAAATAGATTTATATTATGCAATTTTCCAAACTCACATTTGTCTCTCATACAGCATCTCTGTAAAGTATGTGTATTCACCGGTATTCACTCTCTGTCCTAAACGGCTTGTTGGAGCTCCGCCCCCACGACCCATCCCTGTGAGCCCAGTGTGCTCTGATTGGTCGGGACGTTGCGAGGCTCGCTGCTCAATGATCTGGTTTCCGGGTCGGCGATACAGCGGGACAGCGCAAAACTCATCCTGAGCACACACAAACACTCACAGCCGAAGTAAAAACAATAAGTGTGGCTTGATATTGAGTAAGAAAAAGGTTTATAAACGCTGTGAGAATGGGTCTGCGGAGAGCATTTCTCTGCAATCCCAACTCGTCTATTACCAACCAGGGAGCTCTATGCAAGTCAATGGGACTCCCTGTTAGTTGAACAATTACGCTAAAGGTCCTGGTGTGTGAGGAGCTCTGCCGATTGGTCCATTTTGGTTCCGGGAACCAAATGACGTCATGCGGTTCCCGGAAGAAACAAATGGAAAAAGAAAAATCTCCAGCGAGGCGTTCTGGGGCAGCATAGACAGGGTGTACTTTGAGGGTTTTTGACTCTGCAGACCGTTTACATGCATAACACACAAGGGGACGGGTAATAACCAGAAAAGCATGACATGGGACCTTTTAAATATATCAAAACACAACTAGTTAGAGGGAATTGCAATTGAACCTTTTTACAAAAATTGTTTAAAATTAATCAATAATGAATTATGAAATGAAAGCTACAGAGTAAAAGTAAAAGAAAATGTTGGTCCTTAAAGTTAGAAGTAAATGTTTTACCATGGAAGCTGTGAATACCATGGAATACTCATTGAGGTGCGACAATGAGGCGTCATTCGTAAAAGTCTAGCGAATACATAATACTCATTACCTCTCAATGTTTGAATTACGGGCAAGTGAGTAGGTTTCATTTTCACACGTACATCAATTTGCAACATGGTTGTAATAACTGTCAGTCATTCTTCATCCAAAAATGGCAGAATATATCCATTTAAAAACTCTTAAATCGATTGATTTCCTGCCTTTCCCAGTTTCTTGTCATATTCAAGTGAACATCTTTGGGTTTTGTACTGATGCAACATGACATGTATTCAAGACATCACTTTAGACTTTTTAGAAAGAAGGATTGACATTTTTCACTATTTTCTTATATTTCAGGCTAAATGGAAAACATTGTAGATTAATCCTTAATCAAATTCAGATTAAAAAATTGATGGGCTCAAATTCAGCCCATCAGAATATTAAAAAATAAATGTTTTAAAGTCAGAATCATTAAAAGTGGGGTAGGTAATTCACTTCAGAAACACTTTTTGTTATATTCCATGGAATGCTCTTAACATCCCGATAGCAATGAATACATGAAATGCTTTGACAATAAATACATTATTACATACATGGAGGCGTGTGGCGCAGTGGATAGAGCCTTGGTGTTGGGATCAGACAGGTTCAAACCCCACTGCAGTCAGTATGTCGTTGTGTCCCTGGGCAAGAC